TTTTTTTTTTTTTGCAAGGAGTGTGTGAGATGACCCGGAGTATAACACAAACGTAACAAAATCCAAAACATAAATAAATGTCCTTTAATAACTCCAATTTGGCCCCGCTGTTCAATAATTTTCAGTTGGAGATAAAACATACTCAAAAATAGTTTTCAAAAGAAAGCAATACAATCCGAACTTAATGAGCAGATAGAGGTGAAATAAAAAAACCAAAAAAACCCCACCACCCTACAATGAAGGAAATTCCACAACGGACCAAGATAAGTAATTGCCAACTTCAAGGAGATAACAAAGCACAGTCTATTGGAAGGATGCCAACCAAGATAACTTCAGCCCAAAATAAAACACACTTTGCTTCTAGCAATGCTGTGTTTTAACCGTCTCTCTTATATACTATTCTCCCCAGCTGAACCAATGAGGGGGATCATGGCCGCTTCCTCTCTCATAAGCCAAGTTGTTTCCTTCTCCGTTCCTCCCTGCGTGCCCTAGGATGGAGAAGGGATGGGCCTGGTTCTTCCTCTGACTGCCCAGCCAGCCTCTGCCCTTCCCCAGCCTCCTCCACAACCTCCGGAGCCATACCTCCACTACCTGTCGGTTGTTCCTCCTCTCCCTCAGAATATGACTCTACCAAGGGCATGACAGTGCATTTGAACTGCGGAACTCCCTGCCACAAGATGGCAACAAACCACCTGATTCGGGAAGAAACTTTGATGAATTGGTGGAAGGTTTCTCGTCACGGCAGACAGCCATTGCTATTATTATTAAATCTACCTATGGAGCAAAGAATCCGTCACAATTGGTTAGCAAATCAGCAAAGCTGGCTGGGGAATTCTGGGAGCTGAAGTCCACCAGCCTTAAAGTTGGAGACTCCTGTTAAAGGTAATCTTCGACTTTTGGCCACAATTGAGACCAGAATTTCTGTGGCTAAGCAAGGCGGTTTGTTAAGTGAATCAGACAATTGTTAAGCGAATCTAACTTCCTTTATCAACTTTGCATGTCGGAAGCCGGCTGGAAAGGTGGCAAACGGTGATCCCATAACTGTGGTCATGCCTCAACAGTCATAAGCGCAAGAGCCAGAGATGGTATTCAGCAGGTTCTGACCAGTTCTGGAGAACCAGTAGCAGAAATTTTGAATAGTTTGGAGAACCTCTGACCAGAAATTTTACAGTATCTTTCCCCTGCCACGCCCACAGAACTGGTAGTAAAAAAATTTGAACCACATCACTGGCAAGAACCAGTTGTTAAGCCACTTTTTCACTCTCCAGTGGTCGCTAAACAAATGTCTATAAGTCAAGGACCATCTATAATTTATCCATTTGTCCTATTTATATTGTTTCCGGCGACTGTTGGTGTGGTTCCAGGAATACAGGGCTGAATTGATCTTTGAAGAGATCCAGCACAGCTGTTTTGTTTAGCCCTCCGTGGCCTCATTAATTTAGCAGGCATTTGCTTTTGTAAAAAAAAAAGGAAAGGAAAGTCAATGCTTACACCAGCAAACAAGATGCTAGACCTCAGCATTCTTGGCCAAGGCAAGGGGGCTCCCCTGCGTGGAAAATGGCAAGAGATTTGGAAGCTGACCCCAAAGGTGCTATTATTTCAAAAGGCAACTGGACTTTCTTGTTTTTCCTTGAAGATGTTTCGCTTCTCATCCAAGAAGCTTCTTCAATTCTGAAGGACTAAAGAAGCTTCTTGGATGAGAAGCAAAACGTCTTCAAGGAAAAACAAGAAAGTCCAGTTGCCTTTTGAAAAACAAAAAAAACAACCTTTAGGACAATCGTGGCCTGGATGACTGAGAATCTCCATAGATATTTGGAAGTTGAGCTGTTTTGTGACCTTGAACACCAGTTCTAGATTAAAACCGGTATTTCCCAACCTAGTTGGCAGCTTTAAACATGTGTGGACTTCAGCTCCCAGAATTCCCCACCAAG